TTGCGTCACCAGAACTTCATTCGCACTGCCTTAAGTTTTTTTCTAAGCTTATCTATGTATTACAAACGCCAGACCGCTGTCTTATGTATTCAACTGTATTTTTACTCCAAATTGGAACTTGAAGTTATCGAGTTGCAGATAGATTTTCTGTTGATCGTTTTTATTCCTTGTGTACCCCAAAAGCCCCATTCAGACAGGACAGTGTTGGCTAAGGAAACATCTCTACAATATGACGAAGTGCGAAACACCTATCGGTAGAGGTTATGAGCAGGAAGGCGAGACGGTTTTCCATGTACTCTGCGAGTGCATTGGTGTCTCGTCAACGAGAGAATCCACACTAGGAGAACGGTGGCCTTCTATGGCCTACATGAGAGAGATCCCCCTGAGCAACGTCATCACCTTTTTCTCCGTGATAGGTTGGTTGACGGCTCAAGAGAGCTGGTCCTTGGCTGGGAGGATGCACAACGGGCCCAATGAAGCCTAAGTGCTGTAACTCAGTATACAGAGTTACCCTCCAAATTATTCCAGAAGCCAGAATTCCTTCTGTACTCCTTTAACTTCTTTTCTGACAATAGCGTCAATCAAACATAATTTTTTGAAGTTTATTCGTGAAGAAATATCAAAATACACGAACGTTTTAAATGGAGATGGTTTGTTTAAATCTGTAAAAGAATATAGATAACCTTTTTTATGTTAAAACTAATCACGCCATTCTAATTATGATGACACTGGTACTACTACTATGAGGAAGCTGTAGTATTGATTGAAATATGTATCTTCAAATGTTGTTCTTCATTTATTAAAAATTATATTTCAGACATTCAAGGGTCATACCTTGGAAATCATTTACAGGTTGAAGTTACAAATAATAACTAAAGGGACACTCTTACATTATTTCTACAATTTTACTGAAAACGTTCTGTATATCTTGTTCTTCATTGTGAGCACTGTGTGTAAATTACAAGCGTTCATTTTAACTTATTTTCATCGGTTACGCCAGATTTTATTCACTGTCTAGACAACACATAACCAACGATGTGAAACGCTACTCCTAATACGTTATTTTCATTTTGTGATACAAAAATTAATATTGCGCTTTCTATTAAACTTCTCAATGAGATTATGGTGGGCGTTTCCTGGAACAGAGCATAGAAGTTATTTTGTCTTATTTACAGTATATTAGAAAGGTCAGTGCGCTTTTCAGGTCTTAAGATCTACCCCGTTGCAGATAATGTTAGTCACAATCGCAATCATTTACAATTTAAAGTGTTGTAATAATTGCTATTTGTTCGATTAGGAAAACGTTCGTATAATTGGCAATCCATTTAAGTGTAAATTAATCGACCTTTATGTTTTATTTACCAGTATATTTGTTGCTAATTGGGACAGTTTATTGTGTTGAGTATTTATTTAGACAAAATGTGCTCATAATAACCAAATGTTTTAATTAATGATATACTAACTTATAAATTTAGATTTAATAGTAAACCCACTTTCTATTGTCGCTATAAATATAAAAAGTAGCATTTAAAAGTCTCAGTATATGAGACATCCACCAATAAGTTTTGACATAAGCCTACTTTGAGAAAAGTCACTTATTTTATACACCGTAATATTGTAAGAGTTCAATTAAAGGCTTTTTTCTCGAAAACCGTCCACATTAGGAAGTTCTAACAAGAGTACATTATTTTTAGAAAATAAAGTTGTACATTAGAAATTGGAGCCCGAATGGTAAAAAACCTAACCTTAAAAAAATTAGAACTTAAAATGTAATAGGAATGGAGCATATCTATCGCCCTCTATGAAATATCCAAAAAAATTGGATCAGCGTATTTGGCATTCTTAAAAACCCCGGAATTCCAAATTTTATAAAAATATTTCGCACCGTTTGGAAATTTTCGTAAAAATTCTATTTAAAAAATTTTATTTTGTCGCTCTGTATCTCGAAAACAAGAGGAGATAGACATATGGTTCGTAAGAAAAAAATTCTTATTTTTGTCGTACTGTCACTTCCTGTATTTACGGGAGGTCTTTCTGAAACAGCCTATATACATCGACCTCTTTATCAAGTCAATTCCAAGCAATCGATTTTTTTACGAGTCTGTGTAAATCAACAGTTCAAAAATGTGTACCAAATCTGGTAATGATACTTCAACTAGTTTAGAAAATATTTAAGAAAAGTCGTTGTTGATAGGTCATCTCGAAGCAGGCGAATATTTGCAAGGAGTCATAATTGACCTCTAGTTTATTTTACTTTTTGAGTTAGTTTTTATCAACGAACACCTTGTAGAAGTTTGGAAGTTGAATTAAGAGATAGCCAGTAGATATTTTCTAAGTTTCTTCGTACTTATCTCCAAACTTAGACCTGCCACACTAATAAACCACTCCATGTAACATATAAATTCAAATACATCATCTCTGCTAGATTTGCACAATTAATTAAAATGACAAATCAGGTTTTTTCATCTGAACGAAAGCAAGAATGTTGTTCCAAGTTACTCCTTAGAAGAGCCATTAAAATTTATTTATTCTTACAACTACAAAATTGCAGAAGGTGTAATAATATGTCTATAAAAAATAATAATTAATTAGAATAAACATTCAGTTAGAATTGAATAAAAAAAGGAATTAACGTATCTGCTACTACTCAAACAGACTACGACAACTGACTTATACGAACTTTTTTACTAAGATAATAATTTTTGAATCGGTTTCTAGATGCTAATTAATTTTCATGTAAATTAACTATTACGTACCTGATATTCCAGTTTATTCAGATATCCTGCTGCTACTTTTGATTAATAACATATTGATTGAAGATGCCCTGTCCTTTTTTATAATTATTGCATGTATTACTTACCGTTTTTAAAAATTTAATCAATTATTTTGTTACCTGAGATTAAGCAGAAAAATACAAAAAAGATTTTTTGTATTTTTCCTGGTTTTTGTGAATGTTTGCTATTTCTGACCTGTATTTTTGAGGTTAGAAAAGTTCAATGACGTGATAGCTCAATTCTGACACTGGATTCGTGACCTGGAGGCAAAAGTACTACGGATAATATATGTCTCATGAAAAGTACAGGCAACTTTTTGTTTGTGTGGCTGTGTTATCCATTGTGAAAAATTTTTAAAACTTAATCATGATGACTCATTTGAAGAACTTGCCAATATGCACTTTGCTTATGGTGTAACATATTGTGGTAAAGAAGCTGCACGTTAGTATGAACAAAAATATCCTGAACGGCGGTAACCTCACCGTACAACCTTTTCCTTTCATAAATCGTCGCTTTAGAGAAAATGGCAACCTTAAGCGTCTCGATGGTGCTGGTCGTCCAGGAATAACCCGTACGTTATAAAGTTTGAAGAAGTTTTACAACGTTTGGAGGATAATCCATCCACAAGCGTTCACGCAATTACACACAATATGGACTTCTCCAGTACGACAGTATGGTATGTCGTGCATGAACAGCTCCTATATCCGTACCATTTACAACGAGTCCAAGCTTTAAAACCTGAAGAGTATCCACATCAATGGCTTTTTGCCTATGATTTTTAAGTTGCACCTTAGTAGAACCTCACTTCGTGAGAACAATATTTTGATAGTAGAAATAACCACATTTGGGATAACGAATATCCTCATGCCATGGTCTCCAAAAAACACCAGCAACAATTTTCTGTAAACGTTTGGGCTAGTATTGTTGGAGAGCGTTTAATAGTTTATTTGCTGCCTGTTCGTTAAACGCAAACTTTTATCAACATTTTCTGAAAAATTTCTTATCGGGAAAATGAGTAGAGTTAACATATGGTTTCAGCATAATGTGACACCTGTCTAATTGCTTGTATGGTCTCATGTATCTCCTTCTTTGAACAAGTAATGAATTATTGAAATGAATTTTACTAGAAAACGGCTCATGCTATTAAAATCTAACACGAGTACCTACCTTTTTTAAGCAAAATAAGATACATTTTCATATTTTCGGTTCAGGAAGTAGAAAAAAGTTTGCGTACAAAAACAAATTGTAAAATTTGCCCATGGTCCCGTATTTTCTTACGCTCCTGTAGCAAATTTTGAATTGTATATTATACCGATTATTAAACATTTAAATAGTAATACAACCCCAAAATTTTGTGATTTAATGTTAAACCGTTTTCAAGTAATGACATAAAAACTGTTTCCTGAGTTACCCCTTAAAGGGGCTGTACCTCCCTTAGTTTCCGCCACTGACAAAAACTTTAGTAAGGTTTTCATCATATTTCGACATGTTTTACATACTTTCCAATTTTGAGTACTTATTTCGTTAACACCTTGTATATAAATATCAGGTGTCGAAAATTCTATAATCTGCTAACTCTTTCTTGACGTCTACCTCAATGATGGGCCAAAGTTAATATACAGGGTGTTTCATAATATATGCGCAGGACTTCAGGTCTCAAAACCGTACTTTTTTGAGTGGCGTAGAAGTTGGGGAGAAAAACACCCACTTCCCCTTCAAAATCTTCACCAATTATGACTTTGAAAAAAATTTTTTCTCGCACAGAACATAGCTTATTATGAGTAGTAAATGCTTACAAAAGCTGTTTTCTGTACGATAAACGGTTCCGGAGATATTCGCAAAAAACTAATTTTTTTTACAATTTCAACACCCTGTATCTCGAAAATTGTGCATTTTAGAAGGTAAGTTAATACGAACTTTTTTTCAAATTTTTTGACGAGCTATCACATCCTGAAGTCCTGCGCATATATTATGAAACACCCTATATTCTTTTAATGGAATTAAATATTTCTCTACTTTATTTGTTGTTTCTTTTAAACAAGGATGACTGACAAGTTGAATATGCAATTTACACGTTAATATACATTTGAGCGTACCATCAAAATTATTTCTTACTTTAGTTATACATTTTTAACATTATTTCGATATCTGGGACGTTTACCTTTACGTGACCGTCTTCTACCATCTTGTACAAATACCCCAAATAATAATATTGTAAATTTGCAGATGCATCATCTTCCAACGAAGCAGTGCATTTGCAGCAACGCCTCAGGAGCCTGAGCACGGAACTAGTAACGCTAAGAAATCGGCTGCATGTCCAAGGAACGCAAACGACCGCCCTGAAGGGCACGCCGACACCGGTCGCACCTATTCCTGCTGCTGCCCCCGTGGCCTCCCCGTCTCAGCCGGCGATTCCTCCTCGTGTCGCTCTTAATGTACCTGTGCCATTGGTAAGCCCGCACCAAGAACTTTCCTTTTATTTATGCGAGCGTGAACCCAGGCGAACGAACGCCGTTCGTCTGCGGTGCAGTTCCGAACATTGAGGCACTCCGACACCACAATTACAGAGTGCCATTAGCATATAATTACAGATATTAGTTTACTCGGCATTATATAATTGGTTATTGTTCACGTCTACGACAAGATTTAATTAAAAAACGAAACACTCCACACAGCTGATTGGTCAGAAGTTGGTTTTTCAGCTGATATCTTTTTTGTGTCAGATATCATAGATATCAGATGGTTTACGAGCGGAAAACGGTTCTTGATCCTTGCGAGTTCCTCTAGAAGGGGTTTTCCAGATATCAAATGTACTTGAGAAGTCAGTGGTTGGAAAAACATCCGAATTCATGGAGTCACTGCACCAAAACCCCATAACCCTGTAGTCATAGCCTCATATACCCATAGCCACACAACCACATGACTTATAAACCCATATCTCAATAATCCCATAACCATGTAACCCATAATCCAATCCTATAACCCGCAACTCCATAACCCGGGATGTGCGAGATTGTGGAAGAATCAACCAAAACTGTTTGACAGTGGGTTAACAGGTTTTTCTAACCCCATAACCCCGCAATCCTGGGTGTGCTGCGATATGTGTCTACGAAATTTTTTGAGAACATGGACCTCATTCTCCGAAACTGTATAACTGTGAGCTGAGCAGCTTCTTCCGTAATACCATAGCCCATGCAATAAATCCATAACTCTTTAACTTTGTGCAAGGATATACAGGGTGATTTTGAATAAAGTAGCACAAACGCTACCAGTGCATCTAGGTGAAAAAATAAGGCGAATGAACTAAATATACCTTAGACAAAAGTTACACTCCTGAGGCATTACAGGGTCTTGAATGTTGTAGAGCCAACCAATATTTCCTTCAATTTATCTTGAACCATGTGGCGTAAATCATTTATATTTGGTACAGACATTTGTCCAGTGCGGACACATACTTTCTATTAATATTGTTTAAATATACCCACCAGAGGCGCTGCTGTCGACTACATGCAACATATTACTCCAAAGAATTTTTCACCCTGTTTGAAAATACATATCTTATTTACATTTTCGGACGTAACAACTACAAACAAACATTTTTTCTCTCTTGCATTTTTTCGATGAACGCGATAGTTTTTTAGATAATTTACGAAAAACAAATTTCGGAAATTTTACAGCGCCAATGGTTGCAGTAACAAACACATCAACACACCATTGTGTAATAGCAAAAAAAACGCCACCTACTGTAATCTCCAATGTAATACTACAACATAACGTTATTTTAAAGTAAAATTTTTATAAAGAATATTTTGAAAGTAGTTCCCACTTTCCTTTGAACACAATCTAACACGATTTGTTTGAGGATTTCCTGCTTAAATTGATAATATGGAAATACTTCGCCAACATCATAGTTGCTCCTGGTAAATCGGAAACAAGTTTTCTGAGTAAACAATTTGCTATTTTTATGTTGATGTGTCATTGTCATCAACGGTTTCAAATAATAGTTGTTTAATTATGGCAAATTTTACTAACAATGAGTATGTTGATATGCTCCAAGTATTTTTTGAATATCACAAAAATTGTACTGCCGCAACAAAATTGTACCATGAGAGATATCCAAATCGCCGGGTTCCCCACAGGCAAACTTTTTTCAGCTGTGGAAAGTAGGTTGCGAGAAACTGGCCAAATTCAACCTAAGCGTAAGGGTAACGGACAAAGACGGTATATCAGAAATGTAAACCTTGAAAAAGCTATACTTATCAATTTAGAAGAAAATCCTCAAACAAGTACAAGAAGACTGGCTACACAGTACAACGTTTCGCAAAGCCTTTTTTTGGAACTTGAGTCATGATAACCTTTTACACCCTTTTCACCACCAGCCGGTTCAAGAATTAACTACAAATGATTTACCTGCAAGGATTGTTTTTTGACAGTGGTATCTTAACATGTCCAGACACGACTTAAATTTTTTATCTCATATTTTGTTCACCGATGAGACATGGCTTAGTTAACCATCCTAATAGTCATACATGTTCTGATGAAAACCCCCATGAAATATGTCCATCAAGATTTCAGCACAATTTTAATGTAAATGTATGGTCAGGAATTGTTGGAGATGCTCTAATAGGTCCATTTATTCTTCCCCGTCGACTGACAGCTCTTGAATTTCTTCGATTTTTAAATGAAAATCTCCCAATGTTATTGGAGGATATATCACTAGGTGTACGACAAGTTATGTGGTACATGCATGACGGGGCTCTGGCACATAGTACCTTAGCTGCCAGGCAATGGTTGAATCTAAATTTTCCGGGACGTTGGATAGGTCGTGGTGTCGATGCACCCGTTAGTTGGCCTGCGTGTTCACCGGACATTACCCCACTTGATTATTTCTTATTGGAACAACTGAAAAGTCTTGTTTATGCTACTCCTGTTAATACTGTTGAAGAATTGCGTAAAAAAATCTTTCTCGCAGCTGACGTTATTTGTAACAACCCAGAAATATTTGCAAGAGTACGTCATAATTTTAATCGTCGTGTTAGATTGTGTTTACAGAAAAATGGGAACTACTTTGAAAATATTCTTTAGAAACATTTTACTTTAAAATAACGTTATGTTCCTTAGTATTGCATTTGAGATTACAGTAGGTAGTTTTAAATTAAAATTTATTAATTAAATTAGACTCTTAAAATAACTTGATTTGTTACATAACGAATACTTACTGTCCCTTCAAAATAAATTTATTAAAATTACTTTACCAGGAAAGCGTTTTCCTTTAGCTATTAATGAGTGGTGTGTTGATGTTTTTGTATTACTGCAACCATTGGCGCTGTAAAATTTCCGAAGTTGGTTTTTCGTAAATTATCTAAAAAAAACTATCGCGTTTATAGAAAAAATGCAAGAGAGAAAAAATGTTTGTTTTTAGTTGTTACATCCGAAAATGTAAATAAGATATATATTTTCATACAGGGTGACAAAATCTTTGGAGTAATATGTTGCATGTAGTCGACAGCAGCGCCTCTGGTGGATATATTTAAATAATATTAATAGAAAGTATGTGTCCGCACTGGACAAATGTCTGTACCAAATATAAATGATTTACGCAACATCGTTCAAGATAAATTGAAGGAAATATTGGTTGGCTCTACAACATTCAAGACCCTGTAATTCCTCAGGAACGATTCACGTTATACCTAAGGTGCTCTGGTGAATTTTATGTGTTTATCGATGTGTTTTTTTTGAGAAAAAAAGCTTTAAAGTAAGTAGGAAAAGATTAATAAAGAGTAGGTACGTTTTTTAAAGTACAAAAGAGACTATGATTGTTTGAAATAGACATCAGTACGACATAAAAGACTGAATTGAACTGAGACTCATATCGCTGAATTAGTCTTTAGACTATAAAATATAGAGCGCCCTATTAAAAATGTCGGTAATATTATAGGTCTGTCAAACATGGCTCAAAAAAATAGAAAATATTGCAGGAAAGTGAGATTTTCTATTTACTAATTGACCTGTTTCAGCGAGTTTTAAAATCTGAACTGGAAAAAAATATGGATTTGGTTTGGATTTTGGGACTGTTGGGATTATGGGTAGAACTAAAACACTTTAATAATAATTAAAATATATTGTTTATTCGCTTATTCAGATAGCACGTCTATTCTGTATCAAATCAGATTAAAAACTAAAACTCTCTCTTAAGCTTATGCTACAATATACCTCCGTATGTTTATAAGCATTTTAATTTATGAGCAAGAGCCGTTGGGCTTGAGAAATATAAACATATTAAAAGTGGACATTAGTATCTAAGGATGGGAATGTTTTTGTTTACGTAACTTGAGTATCTTTCGACAGGGACACAGTGTATTATTCCAGTCCCTGACTACATAAGTCGATTTGCAATTTCTAAAACTGTTTTCTTTAAAGGTTTTTTGATATTAGGTGAAAGAAAACTGTAGTTATTCAAGCATGTGTTAACATTAATTGATCAAAAGCAAGAATTAATCTCTAACTACATGCTTATAAATGGGAATACGTACTTCAGTATAAAATTTATCATGTGCAATACTATTAAATAACTGTGGAGTATAGACTACTATACCAAAAGCACTCAAAATAATATAAAAAGTCATCACCTTATAACAGTAATGTGACTGGCGCATTGAAATCATCATTACGTAACAATTTTGAACAGTGGAAATTTGCATGGATAAATTAAATAGAATGGTAACACTTTGCATGTTATGCCGAAACATGTTAAGGATTTGTAACGGAACTGCTCACAATAATAAGTGTTGTGAGAAACCTTTACGAGGACATTATGTTAGTATTTTTATAATATAAATATTTTAGGAATTTCCGTTGCGTTGTTTCCAATAAATCTATACTCCGCGATCGAAATTATAGAGAGTGACTCATCGCTAGCTTTTGGACTAGTAAGGGGGATGAAGCGTGCCGGGAACGAAAATCCATTGGCGTATCTGCGTAAAAGGCAACAAAATATAGAAAACATTGAAAAAAGATAATAAAACATAACATCTAATATTTTTTACGGTTTGCTATAACCGATACTTTGATCCATTTTAATTATTACAGCATATTAAAATGTCCTAGTTGTGTTTTTTTAATTTATAAATTTCTTATAGCCATGGAATTAGACCCCTCATCTACGCTTATGCTATGACGTTTCTCAGAATGGATAAATCAAATCCGTTTACACCCACTAAAAAAGCATTTCCCTATTCCCTACCAAGTGCAAAAGACAGAGATAGAATATAGATCGACGTTCAGTGTAACTCAGTCTATAGACGATTATAGATTCTATCGATGTGCGTAGTGAGCGGCACAAAGATAAATAATATTGAACCGTTATAAAAATCATTTTATATTTTATGCGCATTATGGTAATAGTGTGTTTATATTATGTCTGAGTCACCCTCTATAATTTCGACCGCGG